TGAGAGAAAACTCTGTTTTGAGTGCAATGTCATCTGTAAACTTCTTTCTTTACTCGAGTGTACGTGTTTCAATTGGCAGTTGTTGAACTATATTTAATCCAAACGATTAGACAGCAAGTCTTCTTGAATGAAATATTTGCTTATGTATTTTTCACATTAATAATATACGATAGAATATTAAAAATGTTTCCTTATATTAGAAATATATAACTATGATTATTCAACTAAGTTGAAAAAAACAACAGCACTTTATTAACATATTTTGATATCTATATACTACTAAAATTCTGAGATTGTTTGTTTGTTTGTGTGTGTGCTTGTCAGTAATATGGGTGGGTCATGGTGGTCTTCTTTATTATAAACAGCAGTGCAATTAATGATGTATATGTGCTTTCATGACTTTTTTTTTAGTTAATGAGTTCGAAGGACTTTTATTTACCTTGCATATAACCAGTTGAGACGTTAGTGGATTTTACTCATTCTCAGAAAATACTGAGATTAAACGTTTATTTTTATATACAACCGAAACAAAGTTGCCGAGAGAAATGTTTCTATGTATCTCTAGACCATTTAGAGTGCTAAATTTCAGTCTGTCTAACTTTTAGTCTGCTTTGTGTATCTCTTGTCATGAAATATAAGATGTTTTGACGTATTCGTGATATTTATTCTTTTAATAGTAATTTAAACATTCTTTCTCCTTTATATTCAGTATATGTGATTTAATGTATTATATTTAACGAATTTTTGTAAGACTGTTATGAAATGTATACAAACATAACGTATCTGTTACTGAATGTAAAAATAAAAAACAACAACAACAAAAAACGATGTTATGAAGTATATATAATACGTTAGGGAACAACCAAAATATTTGCAACTTTAATTACATACTTCAGTAATGAAACACATTATGCTAAATGACTAGAGCTGTTTAAACATTTGTTTAACAACAAGTAAAAGCTTGAAATGGTCTATTCTTTCATTGGGGGTGTGTGTCTGTAAGCCAGATTTCCACTCCTCATCATTGACCCTGGACACCACCACCAATGAAATATCAGACCAAACCAAGCCTTTATAATAGTGAGGTATCGAAACATTCCAAGCATTTACTTGTTGTTAAACAAATGTTTAAACAACTCTGATCAACTATGCACCAGCTGCCCACTGTTGGCTAATAATACGAAGAATTAAATTGTAGTAAAATGCTACAAGTTCTTCAAATACCTATAGAATGATAGGTTTCTTTTTTTTGTGAGTGTAAAACACTTAAAAACACCATTTTGACATTATGCTAATTGTTAGGTATTACAATTTCAAATAGCCTAAAACTGAGTTAAATTGTAATTTAGATTTAGCAGTTAATTAAATGCCAACAAGACTGATACACACAGTTTTCCTTCTTTTATACAAATATGTTTTAATATACAAACAATAATAGAATTTACAGTTATTACAAACAATGATTCATATATAAAAGTTTTACAAACTTACAAGCAATATAGTCTTCTTTTTAATCTGGAACTTCCTTGATTTTTTATCGTTGGTTCACGATGAGCGATTTAATTTCGAGTTGATGTAGATACAATTCACTTAATAGGGAGCTAGCTAACTCGGTAATCTTCGCCAATTTTTTTCTAGCGGCGAAGTTAGGTAATGTTTTCGTAAAAGTAGTAATGCCCGATGTGAATCCACTGAAGTTAACTGGTTTGTAATGTTCGTAATTTATAAATGTTCCTGGTTAAATATTTTAAGTTTCCCGATTAATAAGCGTTATAACAATCGCAGTTATAGCTTCCGATGTTTACAGCACACCAACTATAGCAAACGAATAATAGATACAGGTTTTAGGCGCGTTGCGTGTGGAGAGTTTTTCGAAATTCCAGTTTACGTAACAATACTGACGCTAACACTAGCGTTTACGTATACACATTTATTGTTGATTCTTACAATGGAGAATCTTCTACAACTTTAGTGAATAGGCGGGAGTTTCGCAATGAATATTTAACAGTACAAGTTATGTACATTTCTAAATATAAATTAATGTTAACGAACATCGATATTAAAATAAATATATGATAAATTCGTCACATAATATTATAATAGCTTATTAGTTTTGTTTATTATAGATTATATCTGAAGATAATGTTTTGTCTAAACATGTAGTATGTTCCACCATCAATAAATATCTTCTTTATGCATATAAATCGTTGTTTGCCTACCTATTATTAACTTTAATCTCAAACTAAACAATTTTTATGGCACTTTTAAATCGTACATATCGAACACTAAATTGAGTTTTTAGGTAAGTAATGTCTTATAGTAAAACAGAAGGATATAGTTCATTTGATGTTACATATTTAAATGGCAATGTTTACACACAAGGCTAACGTTCACTATCAGCATTAAAACAATTTATAATAAAAACGTGATATTTAAGCATTAAATAAATAACTGTGAATATAAGGTTCTTAATTAAATGTGGTATATATTAGTGTGTTAATAATAGATCAACAAATATTTCAGTAAGACCCTAAGAGTTATGTTAAGGATTTTTAAACCAAATACTACTTTGCATTACATTTTGTTTTCGATCTTTGCGTAACTTCGATTCTTGGGAAACTGGGTGATATTAGAATCAAACGTATTTATTGATCCACCTGAAATACAAAGAATCATCCGCGTTTCTCAAAGTTTCACTATCTTTGGATTTATATACAAAATGCTTTTGCTCTATATTGAATACTCTTTCTTGCTTCGTTCTTTAGCTTTCTGACCATTTTTGCCGACCACAAGCTATTTATCGACTCCTTAGCAGAAAAAGCAAATGGATTCTTGAGTGTTTGATATGTCAAAGAGAGAAAAAACCATGGACTCTGCAGTTAATGTGTTTTCTAATATAACATGGACTTAGTGCGTTGCCATGATGAAAACTTTATTCGAGCAAACCCAACGTCACCTATTCCCAGTTTCTTCCTTGAAGTGTGGATACCATGCGATGTAGCAAGTCCCATTTAGCCTTAAAAAGGTATTTTTATTTACTGTTTAATGCACTATTGGCAAACAACAAAACTTGAGTAACTTTTAGGAGTCTTGTGTAATATGTTTGTCAGTTTACTACTTACTTTTACCTTTCAATACCTTAAGTAATACATTGAATAATGGTTTCCCTGTACGTGAGGTAAAATTGTGAAAAAAACCTGTTTTTATTTTAAGTGATTTAAATACGTAACAATTTATCTAGGTTTCTAGAGCTATTTAGATGTATAATTATTCATATATTCATTTTGGCATCAATAATTAATTTTTTCAAAGATCTCTTCATGAAATATTAAATAAAAGCATTTTTTATTTTGTAGGAAAGATCTGTAACGAATGTGGGTGTCATGATATAAAATATTGTTTAGTTTAGATGTTACTGATTGATTTGTTTTGTGAGTGAATATCTTATTATTGTTTAGTTTTTGTTATAATAAGAGTTAAAACAGACGATTGTTGGAGGTTTTGTTACTAATTCATTGATGTTGAGACTATTGAACGTCGCATGTTATACATTGACGTCGAGAATATAAAAATCGGACAGACGATTAGGTGATATAAATAAAGATATAAATACCATGAGACGAGCGGGAAGCAGCAGACAGATAATACAGTAGCAGAAGAAAGTAAAGTTACAAAAGGAAAAGTTCGTCGGAAAGTTAACTACCTAGGCATAACGATTGACATAGGCCTAACGTTTAATACATTAGAGTAAGACTAACAGTAAAAAAGGAGATACTAAGAAGAATTTATTCCATCAAAGAGTGGTTCTAAAGTAATTGAATCAGCCTGAGTGCACTTTGACAAATGGAACAGAGGATCTTCAGAAGAAAGAAGACCAAACGATTACGGTAACTTGCCCCACAATTGTAGGTGAATCACACACAGAATACTAGTGCGATAGTAATAGAGAAGATAGTTCTGTTTGTTAACTGAAATTCTAAAGTAATTGAACAGGCCTAAGTGGATTTTGACAACAAGAAGAGAACTATACATATTGTGTTTATGATATGCCTATAATCGCTATAGTGTAAAGACTTTGTTGTACATACGTTTAACTTGTTCTGAATATATATATTATTTGAAAACAAGTGAAGTGCGTGCTGTTTATTCATTCTTGAACTTATCGCTAACAAGCCACAGACACCTACTGTAAAAGAATACAAAGCCCAACATCAACATAGTATATTTTCATACTATTAAGAAATGTAAGTAAAAGCAAAGATCAGATTTTAAATTCTGACAGTAGGTAAATTTAACAAATGAGTATATCAATATAAATATACAGGATTGACTAAAGAAATAATCATCACACTCATCTGCAAGAAAATCTTATATATTGCTTCATTAATATCTTTTGATTTTAGATTCATTAATAGTGTAGCTCATTCTATTAACATTCGTATAGTGTGCTATTCTAATATTTCTCTGTGATTAATATTTGTCAAATACAACATACGAATATCAAAATCTGCCCTACCATGCGAAATAAAGTTTGTTCATTGGTAACTTTTAATAATCACTATACGTTTGTCTCTATATACGTAAATAAGCTAAATATTTGGGGTTTACCAGTAATAGTTAGTCTAGAAACATCTTAGAGTGACAAGCGAAAAATATTTTCTGTTCCAGCCTTGATACAAAATAAAGTACAATTAAAATAGATCATTTGACAACTATACCGTTGAGGTATTTAAGCTGACGCGTTTTGAAAATGGAGACGATCGAGGTAACCGATAAAATGGGAATTTGCAAATACAGAAGATTGGATAGAAGAAAAAAGAAATTAGAGACTAGCAGGTGTAGGTTTTGCATTTCCAAAATATATATTTAACAAGAATACACGTTTTGGTATGCGAATAAAAGAAGTTTTTACAAATATGTCTGTAAGTTAGGAATTCCTTTAAAATACGAAAATTTTAAAGTATGTATAGTAATTTATAAATTAATAAAATACGACGAAATTAAGGTGTACTATTTGCCTATCGTATTAGTTTATTTACGCTTTGTAATTTTTGAGATTACATATATTTTAACATTCATATCTAATATCTGTATTAAATAATCTAAGAATAAATTTTCCTAATATGAGAACGATAACATATATGAAGAACCGACACAATTATAGCTTTCAAGACAAACATAACTCCTTCTTCCCTTGATCAGTTTCCACGAAGCAATATATAAAAGTATTTCTTTCCTCATCATTAACAAGAGAAACAGTTATTAATTAAGCAGATATTTATTGACACATCTCATGAGTTGTCTTGAAAGCAGAAGAATAAATGTCAGCAGCGGCGGCCATGCTGTGCAAGTCGATGATACAGAAACTGAAGAAAGATTAAAATTTATGTCAATAAATATCAGAAACAATATATATTTGGCAACGAATAAATTAGTTAACCTTAATTTCTATAACAGAAACGTGCATCAATATTATTTTCTCAAGTAAGAAACGCCTCCCAGTGGCACAGCGGTATGTCTGCGGACTTACAACGCTAGACTCCGAACTTCGATACCCGTGGTGGGCAGAGCACAGATAGCCCATTGTGTAGCTTAATTACAAACAGACAAGTAAGAAACAATCTATTTTTAATGCAGAATATTATATTCTCTTTGTAAGTCTTCAAAAAATGACAAATATCTGCAAACAGAATTTTTGTTTCTTTGCTCTGAGCACTAAGGTTTAAAAGTATGAAATCATTAACTTCTGATTCAAGATTTTTAACATGGTTTCTCACACAGAAAGTACAAAATTACGTAACTGACAAACTGCTGAAAAGAACACTCTTTCAAGTTTATGTGAAAAATATGTTATAAGGAATAATAAGTTTATTTTCTATAGGTACTCCTTACAGCATAGATTGAAATTTACATGTTTGCACAGAAATTGATTTTACACCTATCTTTAATTTCGTTTTTTTTTGTAAGTAATGAAATAAATGTTTCTGGTTGTCATCCCGGAGACCTGAGATTTTATTTGTAGTTAAAAGGTATAATTTACAATCAGTAAGTTTTATAGCTGACATTGAATATAATTTAACTAAACAAAGTTTACACAGATATTTCACTTGCTTACAAATCCTGTTTTTATTAGTTGATTTATTTTTTATCAATGTAGGTACATAAAAAGAAAAAAAAATAATGTAAAATAAATGCCTCAAAGAATTCTTCGTAGTGAATGCCGGTGAAGGATTTATCTCATACTCTTTAAAACATAATAATCCTCGTAAAACTTTTACAAAAGTAGATAAGCTATTATATATCTCTATCTTATCCTAGGACATAAAATGATTGTGAACGGCAGATTATATATATATACTTATCATACTCATAGCAATCTAAAGAGTAAGCTAAATAATTATATACTATCAGTTTTTTAAAACATTTCATTAAGACAGACAGTTTATGGTATGTATGAAAACGACAACACAAAATAAAAGAGTTTGTTTTATGGTTAATGCCTGCTTTGAGAAATGACGTTAATAGTCTTATTCTATCATTTGTTTCGATACATATACACCGTTTAGAAAAATTTTTAGATTAACACCCTCTCATCTGTAACCCAAAAGATAATGAGAGATGTCTAAAGTAGTGAAATAATGGAATTCCTTTGATATGGTAGAGCTCAAAGTAGCATTAACTTGTTTTTAGTTTAACAGTACACTTGCGTTGTGGTTATATATAAATACATAGCATGGAATTCAGTAATTCAACGTTTTTTTTGTATCGATTCAACAAATATTTTAACTAATATACCTGATAGTATAAGAGAAAAATTTTTTGATTAAATAATAGAAATATACATACATTGTGTTTCTTCATTATTCCAATGGTTGTTTTTGTTCTTCTCCTTAATGGCAATGATCTGACTGTTTTCGTGCTTGTTGAAAAAGCTCGTGCAACGTAAGATCATCTCTCTTCCTCAGAAATGATAAGACTGCACAGTAAAATGAATGTCACTATTAACGGAAACAAGGCTATCAGGGTGATAAGTAGCGGGACGAGACATAACAAATTCGGATCATGCTTACACAAATGAGGAGAAATAATTTCATTCAGTTAGTCAAGACATAAACTTCCCGAATTGGTTACAAGTTTATAAATCTAAATATATTATCTTAAGTCATACAGTTTTTAAACTTGAGAGAAGTTCTATATCAAAAACATACTTATTTAATAATTGAACGTAAAACATGCGATAAGAATACCTATAACATGTTTCCATGTAAAACAATAAAACTTCTTGAAATGAAAAAAATTATCTAGATCTATAAAATAACATAAATTAATTTCTCCTAACTACCTTTATTTTTAGTAGCGACATATTATATTTTGTTTTCTGTAGCCAAAATATGATAATATAGTTTATTTTCAAAATATTTTAAACTTTTAACATAATTTTCGCTTCACATAACATTCAAAAAACCTAATGACCTGAGTTGCAAACAACACATTTTAGTAACTTGCACTGTTTATACTGATCTACCAGGGGAACAACAATGAGTAACATGAATTCTATTCTGGAAAACAAGGACAAGGTATAGAGTGTATCAATACCGAAACCACTTTTCCCAAAAACTAGCATTATTTTCCCTTTTCTCTTTTGTCCTTTCTTTTAACAATAAAATAACAGTGACTTGAATAAAAATTGCGTCAGCACGTAAATAGGTAAGGCAGATACTTCATGGCACATGGCTAGAGAGCGTTACATGTGTGTCGACCACAGGCAACTGGAGGTACAAAAAGGGTAGAGACAATGGTGTCATCAGAAAAGATGAATGGCTAGGGACGCATTGCTAAGCCACCATGACAAGCAGACATGACAATGGAACGTCAGAGACGATTACGTAATAGTTCCACGAAGTGAAACCAGAAGACGCTGGCACTATGTGATGTTGTCACAAGAGAAGGTGCATTGCTAGTGGCGCGTTTTTAGGCTGCCATGACAGACGTCCATGAAAAAGATCAATTTATTTTCTTAATATGGCTAGATTTAATACAGTTAGTATAAAAACTAATTCATTAGTTCTATATTTAATCATTCGTTCTGACATTTTATATGTAAATTGTCCTGAAAAGGATGCTTATTTAAATGCCATGCAATAACTTAATATTTACTATTTCACTAGTTTGTCTTTATGCTATCAGTATAACTTGACAAAATATTTCATTCTAACATATGTTACTTTATAATTTCATCTTAGACGAGTTTTACAAGGGAATATGGTGTTACTATAATTCCACATATTATTATGTCATTAATGTCTAGATTTAATTATACTACAAGTAAAACCATTATTTTGAGTTTCTAAAGGACGATAATGTTACTAACACAATTAATTTACTGCTTAAATGTTTTTACCATGCCTAATATTTTGATAAGACAGCTAATCACGTTTGTATGATTTATTACATATTTAACGTGTAATGATTATAGTTTTAGTTTCTATACTTAAGCATACTTTTAAAATTATTGTCCTGAAAAGGATGCAAAAAACTATAAGTTCAATGAGGCAACTATTAAAATATACATATTATCCATTATTTGAATGAGGCAGTTATTATAACTGATAATTTACTTTCATCATTCTGAAAAGGACGACTATTTAATTCTCTATATAATGTAACATGCTGTTTCACTTTATAAGCATATTATGTATGATTTCATTTTGCTACAACTAAAATATTAAATGAATGACAAAGTGTTTATCCATTCATTTTTTTTGCCCCGCATGGCCAGGTGGATAAGGCGCTCGACTCACAATCTGAGGGTCGCGGGTTCGAATCCGCATCCCACCAAACATGCTCGCCCTTTCAGCCGTGGGGGCTTTATAATGTGACGGTCAATCCCACTATTCGTTGGTAAAAGAGTAGCCCTCTAGTCTTACACTGCTAAATTAGGGACAAACCATCCATTTTCTGTTAAAAATTTCATAAAACATTGAATCTGTCTAACGTTAAGACACTGTTAACAAATATTACACACATACAGACAATGTTTCTATAAATGGAGGATGATGAGCTCATTGTTTCAATACATCATCAATTTAATCACATGTACAACTATTGTTGAGTTAAAATAATAAAAAAATCTCGACACAAGATTTCTTTGTATGTATCAAACGATTTGTCTCGAAAAGGATACTCATTTTACATGTTTAGCTTTATAAATCAGTTGAGTTTAAAGAATCTATGTAAATACAGTTACTGTTGTTACCCCTTTGTCTTGTTTCTTATAAACCGTATATAGGTTACACGACATGATTCGCGGGTTACTTATTCAAGGTCACTGACCGGTTTTTTGCTTTTTGACCTTCAGTGTTAGCTAAAGCCGATAACACATTCGTTTGAATAACTCACGGATTTACTACATCTGGTAGAAAAACTTTTATTAAAATAGAAGTGAATTATAATACACTGTCAATATCTATGTATTGACATTGTATTTTGAAAATAAACGATTCAAAACTATACAAAATGATGTATTTTTCACATAAATTTAATGTTTACCATACTTTAACTATAATTTTTATATGTTACTGAATTTAATAGTCAGGAAATAATCAACATTTGAAGAATATGAGATTTCATTATATGACACAATGAACTACATTTGCATGTACTTCAATAGTGACAGAGTTAACTATTTCTGATTAGTGTCTGGTTACAAGTCAGACATATCCTAATAGCATTTGGTAGTTGCATATGTTCATAGTAAGTTTGTTTGTTTACGACTTTCGCGCAATGCTACACAACGGCTATTTACTCATAGAAAGGAAGGCAGGTAGCAGCACTCACCGCCAACTCTTCACTTACCACAGTTGAACAGTGGAATTTAACCGTTACTCATATAACGCACCTAAAGTCCCTAATTGTGAAGCTCGTTTTTTGTGGCAACGGAACACGTACTTTAAACACTCAGATTCATAGTCTAGCAGTATAATTGTTAGGCCACACCTAGCACACTTATAATCGTGTCTAACGATTGGTCTAAACACTCCAAATCGTGTCTGACCAAGAAGAGTGGATCGAAGTAAAATAGATACTACTTTGAAAAATTATTTATGTCGCCAAAAATGGTAACAACAACAACAACAACAAAAAAAAAAAGAGTCAGCAATAGTGGAGTTAGAAGTTTTAAGTGTTCGGCTTGTTCCAAACAAAATGTATTTTCTGAACTAAAGAAGAAACTGTGTATATTTTGGGTTGGTTACTACAAAAGTCAAAACAGCGCGTAGCAGGGGTTGCATTCTTTGAGAACATTTCTAGTTTTTAGTGGTTTTATGCAAATTGCTTTTCATTATTGAACAGTCAATACATCAGAATACTAAAGTGAAAGAGGAAATGAATAACGTTAAAGATGAGTTAGCACAAAAAATCAACAGGACACATAGAAACCTTAAAATACTAAATATATACATATATAACTGACAATACAGAGAGAATTAAATGCATAATGCATTTTTCTACCTTGCAAAAAAGTGTAGTCACAGAACTAGAAAAACTACTTCAAGAGAAAGGAAACATCTCACAGGATCATGGTAATATTGGATTACTTTAAGCTGATGCGTCCTTCGGGCAGTTGATATAAAAATGTGAACAAAACATATTATGTAAAAGTACGTTACATGTTTTACACAAAAACAAATATTTTTAAGCATGTGCGATATCTTTCTTCATTAGACTCTAAGCTATATTTCCTAGGAGATTAAAAGTCATCATCTCACTGTTGCGACAAGCTACTTTCATGAATGTCAGTGCCCAAATGGTATGGTAAACATATGTATTTAATATGGCTCTGATGCTAATAGGTACATTGACACGTACGGCATTGTTCCTTTATGAACAAATTCATAATCGCCAAAATACGTTGTTGTTGTTTTTGTACAAGGTGTTCTTAAGTTATGTTAACAGAATTGTTTCAGATATAGTAGTCATGAACCACTACTACAATGGGTACTAAAAGCCTTTAGTTCAAGAAGTATTTTACAACATATTTGTTTGCTTCAGTGCAAAGCCTCATAATAGGCTATTTGTTCTCTCTCCAATACGAAGAATCGAACGCTGGATTTTATCATTATAAGTCTGTAAACTTACCTCTGATTCACTGAATAACTCGGTACAACAGAATTTTCAATATATTTATACATAATTATTAAAAAAAACTGTTAGCATTATTCCCGGAAACTTTATATAAATAAATTTAAGAAACTGTTTGGTTGTTTTTCGTAAAACTGATTTGAGAAATATATATTATACATATATTAAACGTCCAAACACTTTCTCACTCTCAAAAACGTAGTTTTAAGGGTTAAGACCCCTTTTCTATGTAATTTCTTCTAAAGTTCGACAGTTGTTCAAAATCTCAATTTTCTACCACTATAACGAAAGTGATTAACCTTCAATGTGGCCTTCTCTGTTTGTTACTTTCACCAAAAGCTAATTGCTTAGTCTTTAAGAGACATTCTACCTTTGGGCCAAATTTGTCAAAATAAGTCAGATGAAGTTATATAGTTTAGTCACACACAAAGGAGTGAATACAATACCAGCTGTTGGGTAGAATAAATAAATCATCTCAAATATATATAATATCTATGATATTTTAACAACTCGTTAAAAATTTTACTGATCAAAACCAATAAAGAAATGGCCTTATTACTGAAAATAGAACAATAGTATGACCCAAGCCATATATATATCTGTACATAGATGTTTTTGACATATAATTGTTAACATAATATTCACAGTCCTGTAAGGTAAGAAAACATCTTATTTGTCATATAAATTCCCAATGGTAAGTTCTAAGAGTTCCTGTTAATTAGTTTTTCCTTAGCAAATATCAAATAAAAAGTAATAGAAAGGTTCAGGAGTAAAACATAAACATTATATTGTAACAAATATCAACGAAAGTTCAAAAACTTTAATACTGTTGATACTGTCGTATTATAATATTTACAAATAACCAAATGAGCGGTCGTTTTAATTACAGAGAACTTTGGTTGTTCCAAACTTCGAGGCATAAGCACTATGATATTACATACATGTTTTGAAATAACATTATCTGTGGCAAAAATTTCATAATCTCTCTACAAGTTCTTCCTAAACAAATCGAATTCTATGTTAGATATGTGTAATTATCCTGCTTATCTATATACG